GCGTATAATACCGTAAAACTGTTATAAATGTGTTATCAGAGTATCGGTAATCATATAAAATCAAAATCATCCATCTGTGATTTATACAAATGACTAATTTACTGCTTTGAGTTCAATGGTATAACCATGTCGATTTTCACGCATGTCGATTGTCACAGTTTCACACCATATTCGCTCATAGATGGGGTCGTGCTGGTTATTTCGTAAAATCTTTTCGTTAAAATAGAGTGGATATAATGTTTTCTTGAATAGTGTTCATCTTTACACAAGAATGCTGCCCATGTTTGAATTACATCTTGGTCGTTTTTCACAAAAAAATGGTGAATTTTCAGAAATTTTCAGATAATGCTCATTATAATTCAATCACAATTATTATCACGATTTGGAATACGATGGTCTAATAAACTGAATCAAGGACTTGCTAACCACATATAACCTATTTTTCTCGGATTCCCCTAATGTCCTGTGGGTGTGTTTTAATGACCATGTCGATTTTCACAGAATAAATTTTACATTTACTTTATTGAGTCTATATATTCGGTAATAGGTAGAGATCAAATCCGGTGCTCTCATCACACTCTGAATGAATGTTCTCTATGCCAGCATAACCTTTGTTTTCACTGAAAGTACAGTTTGAACGAATACAACAGATCCAGCTAACTCCCAAAAATTTGGGGTTGATTTTTCTCTGAATCACCTCCACAATTACTGGGGTTGAACATTAAGCTGGGTTAGTGGTTATTTAGATAAAATCCAGCTGTGTGTCAACTACTAACAACGTTTTTTTTAAGATTTCAATAGACAGGTAGTTGTGTAGGTGATTTGAAAAATCTGTCCCACATTTATGTGGGTAATCCAGGTCTCTATAGTAGTCTGTATATGCCATATGCCAGGCCCATAGCCAGGATTTCCCGAGGGGGGGGGTCACTATTTCAAAAACTCCAAAGTCACTTATTTTGAAAGAATTTTTGACTGGGGAACCCTTCGGACCCCCTGGCTACGGGCCTGTGTACAGCCTATAGTATTTGCCGTATGATTATACATTTGGTACTACGTGGATTCTTGCATTATGTTATTTCCTTCTGAATATTATCCAAACTTTTATCAACAGCAGTTTCAAAATACTGTAAATGGACTAAGAGGGGTGAAAAATAGTGTGGAATATGGATTTCCAAGACCCCTATTAACCCCCCTTTCATGTTTGCTTTCGTTTTTCTCAATTTGAATTTAGATTCAAAAAGTCTGGAATTACGTCAGTCCCAGTGAATTATATTACCTATTTTACCAGGAATATTGTTAAAAACAGGATTGTATTTTCATTTTATTACATTTTATTTCATGTAGATTGGAATCAAAGTTTTAAATAAGAGTCGATTTGAAAAGTTGTAAACCTGACCAGCGTGTTTTATCATTGCCCGGTAATTGACCGTAAATAATTATTAATTTTCATGTTACTCATGTTCTTTCAGGTAAAATACAGAGAAAAGTACACGTTCATTTAGTTTTGGAATTATTTCCTAAATTAAAATTGAATTCTGTTTTTAACGGTGTGAAGAACATTATAATTGGTCTTATATTTCTAGAGAAATCGTAACCTGAAAAGTGTAATTTTTGAGAGCTTTGATTATCTCCTGCGGCCGCAAAGTTCACATCAAAGTCTGATTGACAGGTTAGCGGTGATTTATACAGCCTCTGAAGTGACAATGTTTTGACAAGTTCCCAGGGAATCATAAGCCTAATTATACATGTCCCTGGGCCAAGGACATAGACCAATCATAAACATGCGCTTAAAACATGCGCACACATCGTGGGGGAAGGATCATTTTCTATTAGTGCGGTGGCGCGTGGCGCGCTAGCGCGTAGCGCGTGTTTTCATTATAACCCCAATCAGTCAACATTACATAAAGGACCGTGTTTTTTACAGAATCACGGGCTGGTATCGAAATATTTGTCCGCTGTGACGGAGCATGCTATTTTTCATAAGAACACTAAGAATACTTTACGATTTATTTTTTAACTCATATGTTTCGTTATACCATAGAAAATTACTTACTCCATGCAATGGATATATCATTTGCGGGTAACTTTCACTTCTGTTTGAAGGGAATGTTATAAAAACCCTTCGACCTTCGACCTGCACCTTCGACCTTCAGCTTCGACCTACAGGGTATCCAAAAAGCGGGCCAAAAAGAAAGTTATAAAAACCCTTCGAAGACCTGCACCTTTGACTTTTCTTATGAAAATTGTCAAAGTCCAAAAATATTTCTTTGAAAAACGACTAAGTCAAACTTCACATAGTTCATGAAATTGAACGGAGCTCTGTCCTCGTCGAAAGCTATAGCTGTCATCTCTTTAGTTTACATCAGCGAAATACTTTATATGCCTGGTGACGTCATCACTTTTCGGACAAGATTTGAAAGTTAAATAACAAGTTATTGACGCCATATCCCGTTTTAATATTGATCACACAACAAGACTATGATTTGAACTCAATAAATAGAACAGTAATTGATCGCTACTTACTCTAATCTTACTTCGATTCAATCGAATCAAAACCAGGAAGTAAGTTCTAAAAAGGGAAACTTCCATTTAAACTACCCGATTGACTACCCGATCAACATCAACAGAATCTTAATTTGATAACATGAAAACTATATTTCACCCCTGTAACTATACCTAGAGTACTGCAAACGTTGCTACAATTCAAGATCTTAACGATCTCACCTGTGAACCACAAATCAAGTGACTCTTGCGTGGTCTGAGATCGGCAAAAATAGCTTCTATAATATTTTCTTTTTGGACACCCTGTAAGTCGAAGGTGAAGGTCGAAGGTGCAGGTCGAAGGTCGAAGGGTTTTTATAACATTCCTGTTTGAAGTTCAATTACGCTGGGAAGAAAAGTTATTGAAAATGGCGCCGGAGTATCATACTTCAAAATGTACCATTTCTTGTTTAACTTTCTATTGGCACGATATAGTGACACGATAATATTTACACATGGTTATTATTATCGTGTCACAATATCATGCCATTAAAAAGTTAAAAAAGAAATGGTACATTTTAGAGTTTGATACTCTGGCGCCGTTTTCAATAGCTTTTACTCCTAGCGTTATTGGACTTCAAACAGTAAGCGAAGGTTACACGCAAATGATATATCCATTGCATGGAGTAAGTAATTTTATTTGATATAACGAAACATATGAGTTAAAAAATAAATCGGGAAGCATTCTCAGGGTGTTTATGAAAAATAGCATGCTCCGTCACAGCGGACAAATCTTTCGATACCAGCCTGTGAGAATGTTTTCAATAATTTGTTTAAAACGAAACATTGTTGAATTCAGTTCACCATATCGATACCTATCCTTTCTTAACATCTCGCGAAAAAAACTAGAATTAGCGTGACTTCAAACCTATATAGAAACTCCTCTATTGGTTAGAATAGGGATTGTTTTACAGGCAGTATTACATACCTAGCGAAGCATTTGTATGGAAGTCAATGGGAAAGTTAGCGAGCTATATCCACCGATATTGCCCGATTACCCCGATATAGCCCGCTTACCTCGTTTTGATATTAGATTTCTTTAATAACCATGATAATATCATGACGTCACGTCATTGATACAAAGTAACCATGGGAACAAAGGCATGTAATACATCAGTTATGTCACTATGACGTGAAATATGCCTTCGTTCTTGCCCAAATATAGAGCCTCCCAAGGTCGGCCTATATTGGGAGAACTCAGGCATATTTCACGTCATAGTGACATAACCTCTAAGTATATTACAGAAAAATAGTTGGACACGTTTTGTTGAACTATTTATTGAGAAGGTTTATCATATTTAACAGCAAAATATGCTTTTTACTTTTTTCCTCTCAAATCCCAGTATATTAGTCCCGGGTGCCTAGGTCTACGTTCGGGGACAATGTTGTGAAAATTCTAGTCGTCGTTCAAACGGTCAAATTAAGGCCACTGGGCCAAGTATGTTACTCGATATTCATGCCATTTAATGCTCTCCATATCCAATAAATGATTAATATTTAAGAAACGTTTGGTGAAAAAACTTGTGAAAATGCTCTAATCAAATTCTCATATCGTTGTTGGCTCTTGTATGTTCGTATGTAACAACGCTATTGTTTAAACAACATATTTTTAACATGTCAGGTCATAGTGTTCTCAGTGGATTAAACCTGGCCCAAATACAAACATTTATTCTAAGTTGCACTATTGCCTTGTTTTTTGTTTACGGTATCTAGATGTACCGATTTCTAAGAATGCCTCACCAATGTCCATTGGTTAAAAAGAATAGTGTACATACAAATCTAAAAAAATGAATAGTCTCTATCAAATGTTGACATTTTGACAGCACGGTAGAAATGACTTATTAATGTACTGTTATAAGCAAAACCAGTCTAGAAAATACGAACTTAATTCACTTACCGAAACCGAATTCAGGCGTTTTGACATGTAACCTTGGGTAACTTTGCTGCAACATATTTCTAATTTGTAAAATTGGAATTCAGTACAACTATTTCAAAAATAAACTATGATGGCGTCATTGGTTTAAAAAATACGAGTGGGACACATGTTGAAAACAAAGAAGGGAATAGATGACACATGTCCCCACTGTTAAACATTTAAAAAGATTAATATGTGCAACTTAATAGTGTGACATTTATGAACAGTCTTATGTCCCAAAAGCAAAAATGAAATACCCGTTTTAGAATACTTGCTCACATATGCATCAACATTAAATCTATGTTGCAGTAGACTTTGGAAGGCAGCATCCCTTCACACACAGGTGTATACAAAACAAACGATTATAACACGTGTGTTGCTGAAACTAATGCATTTTTGGACAGAGATTTGTAAGTGAAAAAGTTCTCTTTAGTCTAGTTTTCTTGTTATAAATATGATTTGTGAGTCAGGGTGAAGCTAGTCATGACATGTACTTGATAACCATCTTGGAGCTCGCAAAAACACACCACTGACAATCTACTAAGGAAGTTTGTTTATAAGTCTTTCAACAGACCGCTACTGCTGTGCAATGTTTTTAAGAAGTGCGTAAATAGAAAGATCATTAGACAGTTTCTTGCTCATAATGGCACAGCAGATATTGAAACTGGCACTTGCCATTATAGTATGGCTAATGGATGGAGTTGAGACATGTCCCACAGGAGTGCAGCCGTTTTGCAGGTGCGGCCCGGAGAATGAACTCGAGATATATTGCTCTGACTGGAAAGGAGGGACCCCACCACCTTTCGGAGGAGGGGACCTTGAATCAACTGTTTATTATCTTCTGGACTTTTCAAAAAGTGACATTGAGAAGTTACCACGGAACGCATTTCTTGATTTGCAAGTGAAAATTATGGTACTCACAGACCTAGGAATTAATTTTGTGCACCCACGTGCATGGCCCAAGAAAAAGTCTCTCAACGTTGTGGAGTTGGACATGAGTGGTAATGAACTTCATAAGATACCCGTCATCGCTCTCTCTGGATTACGTAACTTAGAGACTTTAAGATTTGAAAACAATGGAGTGACTGTGGTAGAATCATTTATGTTTTCAAATGCATCTCTGAGATCAATTCGCTTCTTGTATCTGGGGCATAATGAAATCGAGGAGATCGAACTTGATGCATTTGATGGTCTAAGCCTTCATCTATTGGGCCTAAACCATAACAAAATTGACCGAATCCCGTATGAAATGTTCCCAAAAAGTCCCAATCTGAAATGGTTAGTAATGGAGGGCAATAGAATTGATTATTTCGACGCATATCCATTTAAAAGATTGAAATATCTTAAAGAGCTTCACCTCTCGGATAATTCAATTCCAGCGCTCCCTGACGAGATGGGAATTTATTTTAAGAACCTCGAGAAAATATACTTGCAACATAACCGCATCGATGAGCTACTCCCTCACACATTCAAAGGCATGAACAAAATTACGACCATCGATTTGAGCACTAATCGAATTCCAAAGCTTTTTTCAGAGACTTTTCATGATCTTACAAAATTAGTTCACCTTGACATTTCAAAGAATGATATTGAGATGATTCAACCACAAACCTTCCGAAATTTGATTTCTCTCCGCTACATGGGTCTTCACGATAATAGAATCATCAGCCTGCCAGAGTTTACATTTGAGAACATGCCAAAAGTTCATACTATTGAACTACATAATAATGACATCAGAGAAATAGCAGATCGAGTCTCTGATGGGAAATTTGGTGTTGTTAAACTATCGCTTTCGAATAACAGTCTCGATGGGATTCCTGAACTTGAGCATATTTTCCCCGAACTTGAAATCTTAGATGTCAGTAACAATTATATCGTCGAAGCCAACTTCCAAAATAATCTCCGAAACTTGACACACCTCAACTTGAATAACAACAGCATTGAAAAGCTTTCCGAAGGGATGTTTGAAAACAATCCAAACTTGGTGGAGTTGAACATGACTCACAATAACGTACCCTTGATCTACCCAAGGACCCTATCAGGACTAGACAAGTTGAAATGTTTAAGATTGGACTATAACAATATGTTCTACATCGTACCCCATTCATTTAGCAACCTCTCTAACCTACACTTCCTACATCTGAGCAACAACAAACTCATTGATATTCTTGATGTGACGTTTTATGGTGCAGACTGGTTGCGTATTTTGGATTTATCACACAATCAAATTCAGTATTTGGATCCGAATGCCTTCCTCGGCCTGGAGCGTTTAGAAAAGCTGGATTTCTCACATAATGATATCGCTGACATTCAACCTGGAACCTTCTCAGTACTCAAGAATTTACGTATGCTTGATATCAGTTACAACTTTCTCGAAACGATAAATGCTCCAGATATGAAGTCACTTCAGAAATTAGGAATCCTTAACCTCTCTGGGAACCGAATTGCTAAGCTCCCACGCGATGCGGTTTCTATAGCAACCTTGAAACATTTACGTTTGACGTATAATCCACTACATTGTGATTGTTCGTTGCTATGGTTAAGGTATTACGCTTCCTTCATCCGCATTGATGAAACCAATTGTGCGTCTCCATTAGAGTACAGTGATAATAGCATAATGTGTTACCACGCCCCAACATGCCCTATGTGGCCTTACGTCCCATTTGTCGACTGTTCAAATGCTCGAATATTCCACAAACATGGTGGACGCAATCTAGAGAACCGCAGACGCATGCGCAATGAGGTGGAACCGAGGAAAAGTGAAGATTATAACGAGGACTACGCAATATATACTGGTGGATCAAACGTACTTAAGGCAAACCTTGACCATGTCGATCAACCCATCGTGTATCCCAAGGACGAACCTAGAGAATCCGTGAATGATGAGTACAATGATTACGCACAGTACGATCAATATGGAGACGAATATGACGACTACAATGAAGAATATAATGACAAGTATGATGAGTATGACCAGAGCAATTATGATAATGAAGATTACGGAAATGATCAGGAGGAGTATGATTATGAAGAAGATCAGGATTATACTGGGGACGACTACAACGACGGAGAGGAAGAAGAAATCGATGTTCATGATGTTACTGACCTACGGGAACAGAATTCACTTGAAGAAAAGGAAAAACAGTCTGCCAATGAAGCGATTGTAGACAAAACAACCATTGAGCGAAAAAATAGCGAAAGTCCTATGGACACTGGGAAAACGTCAAATGTTGAACAGGAACATCTTCCAAATGACACCGGTCAAAAAGTTGAAAACGCTGTTAAAGATGGGGTGCCCGAGACGCAAATATAATAAATATTGATATCTAGTGATAATATTATAAAAAGACGACCATGACCTCATTTCTGGCACAGTCATTACATATAATTTATGAAAACAGCAGTGTCATCTTATCATATAAACATTTATTGACAACAACACATAAAATACCAACCTCATACCAGCTTTAATAATTGTAAATATCTGTAAATAGCTTCAAATGATCAACGAAATGATGATAATCACACAAATTGCATTTAACGTTTTTGACGAAGGGCTTTTCAATAATTTATGGACGTTTTAGCCCTATTTATTACAATACGATATATTGGACGCTTCGTGTATCTTTTTCACGGACGAAATGTAAATAAAATCAACTTGAAAAAACAAAAGGCTTCGACGAATTGCCTAGTAACAAAACCGTACTTTAATTGTGTTGATAAATATGCATTCCTGAAAAGTACATACTTATCCAAGTGATTGATAGAAACAACATATTTAGGAGGAGACATCCAAATCGAAATGTATAAACCCAAGGTGCCCACATGGACACTGAAGCGGTAAATGTTTGAAGTATTCTTAAGTAAAAAGAAACAATTATTCAAGCGTTTTCTAGGTGCACTGACTAACTTTCACAATCTCCATTATAAATGGATTTCTGTTTAGTTTTATTTCTGTTATCTTTAATGTAGTTTGTATTCACTTTGTTTCAAACATGAATTTACCTTTAAGCGAAGCACACCTGGTATTTTTCACGTCTCTTAATTTTAGTTTAATGTGTCTAAAAGAAAACAGTTATTTAATTGGTTGAGATATATGTTTGTATTTGCCTGTAAATAGAACTCTCAGCGAGACGGTGTAGTGGTACAAGCTATATTTTATTCAACCCATGTAAATGTAATACTTACTGTAAAGCTAAGACATTCAAAAGCGAGATGCCCATGAAAAAATGTGCCGTTTAGTTACTATAAATTGTTTGAAGGATAATAGAGCGGTTTCCCAAAACGTTATTTTAGCTCAACGGATCCGTATCCAAAACGTATTTACCAGATTTATACGTAGTCAGTTCAATTTATACGTGAAGCGATACGGAAAACACGAATATGAGGCTTTTATACGTTGGTTTTTTTAACAATAGGTTTATTTCATTGATATATTTTTCATGGCACAATATACAATCATGCGGAAAATCGCCTTTTGGCATTGTATGACGTTGGTCATTTACGTATCCCATTTTATCCTTCGATTATATTGTTTTTAGTTCTAAAAGTATCAATATATGAACAAACTCAGTGTGTTTTGTATAATTGGCCTTAAATTCATGCTATGTCCCGATCTCATGTACATTTACAAAATTACTAATACGTAATGGTACATCTATTTTCGGAAGACTCTTGGACAATGGTTTTAGCATAATATATAACATGTTAGATATCAAAACATAGGTAATTGAAATAAAAATGATATGGTGTATTAATATTTTATTTTCATTTTTCATTTTTTAGATGAGGGACGCTTAAAAGACTCTATTGAGTTTTAAAGTGCACTTTTTACCATGTAAAACGTTGCATTTGATAATTTTGAAATATGGTAATTTGGTCATAACTTTTTTATTCCTTAACCAATTTAGTTCAAATTTGGAATGGGACAACAATTGCTGATGGGCGTTTATGACGTCACACGATCTTGTGACGTCATCCACGCATATCCGCCATCTTGGATGCCCAAGAAATAATAAAAATCTGTAAAACTCGAAAAATAAATGTTGGTAAGGAACTTAGGCCCTTATTATCTTATTTAAAAATCAAACCTATGAAAAAGATGTCATTATTACTTATTCTATATATGTTTAACTAGAACTTTACGTTAAAAATATATGTTTTGTATTCATTTTGTTTACATAGCAAACATTTTGCGACTTGGTGTCTGTTTTGTACCAAGAAAAAAATTGATAGAAATATGGCTGGTTTCAAAGACTCTCGTCATTTCAATACACGAAATTATGTTTTTCAAGTGACATTCAACTAGATTTTTTATAATGTCATAAAAGCATTGCCCTTATACTACATATACTATAATTTTAAGTTCAGTTGCATTGTTTTGCATGTATTTGGACCAGGCAATATGACTTGGTCAAATTCAGCATTCTTTTGTCCTAAAATATTTTGACGTTGTAAAAATTGATTAGGGTGTTTTTAATAGCAGTCTAAAATGATATCAGGAAAACAAATGATAACATATTTGGTATGTAGAAAATACTCATAGCTCATATTTTATGATTCATCACGTTTAACATCTTTAGATCAAGCTAAGTATGAGATTTTCCTTTAAACGTGCGTCACAGAGAATTGTCCCATCTCGATTTTTTTCCTTTGAATTTTAGTAGGCTGAATCCAGGGCAGAAAAGAATGAATATAAACTTTGAAAATATATTATATTATATTATCATAAAAATGCTCATAAACTCAGAATTCCAATGATATATCACATGACTATCATCCCTTCTTAGATCTTTAGTTATTGTTTAATAAGTGCGTGACATAATTTGTCCCATCGACGATTTTTACAAAACAAGATTTCTCTTCATCTGTGAATTACCCAGCGAGAAACCAAAATGGCAATTTTGATGGAAAGACACAAAGTACCAGTCAAAATCTCTGAAGATTTCTGGGCAAACAATGGCAGCTCTCCCAGTTAGGTTTTAGACTGTCTTCTCATATTTTTTAGAGTTGTGCGTTCAACATATTCGAGAAGTCAATAGCTATAATAAATCTGCAGATTTTGCTCGCATTTATGTAAGCTTTTCTCTTTTGACGGATAATTTGTGTGGTGTCTTCCCATTTCGCCCCTTCCCACTTTGCCCCTTCCCATTTCGCCCCTCATTTATTCCCATTTGGCCCCTTCCCATTTGGCCCCTACCCATTTCGCCCCTTCCCATTTTGCCCCTTTCCCATTTCGCCCCTCTTCCATTTCGCCCCCGTCCCATTATGCCCCCTTCCCATTTCGCCCCTCATTCCCCCTTCGCCCCTTCCCATTTCTCCCCTTCCCAATTGGTCCCTTCCCATTTCGCCCCTTCCCATTTCGCCCCTCATTTATTCCCATTTCGCCCCTTCCCAATTGGCCCCTTTCCCATTTCGCCCCTCGTTCATTCCCATTTCACCCCTTCCCATTTCGCCCCTCATTTATTAAAAAGTAAACACCTAGATACTGACCTTTGACCTTGGAATGACCTTGACCTTAGTTCACTTAATCATGGGTCACAGAGGTTCACAACAGCCCCAACGACCTTAAATCAGGAAAAGGGGCAAAATGGCAAAGGGGCAAAATGGCAAAGGGACGAAATGGGAAAGGGGCCAATTGGGAAGGTGCGAAATGGGAAGGGGCCCATTGGGAAGGGGCGAAATGGGAATAAATGAGGGGCGAAATGGGAAGGGGTGAGATGGGAAGGGGTGAGATGGGAAGGGGCGAAATGGGAAGGGGTGAAATGGAGAAGGGGCGACATGGGAAGGGGCGAAATGGGAAGGGGCGAAATGGGAAGGGGCGATAAGGGAAAGGGGCGATATGGGAAGGGGGCAACACGGGAAAGGGGTGAAACGGCAAAGGGGCAAAATGGGAAAGGGGCGAAATGGGAAAGGGGCCAATTGGGAAGGAGCGAAATGGGAATAAATGAGGGGTGAAATGGGAAGGGGCGAAATGGGAAGTGGCGAAATGGGAATAAACCACTTTGTGTCTTTCCTTGAAATCATGACAGATGTAACTGATCTACTGAAATCAACTTCAAGTGCTTACTACTATCTCCCAATGTGAGCTACATCAGTGCTTTTTGTTGAGAAAATATGTAAGTTATTAGCCGCTTCTTTGCCGATCAGGATTTAAATTCTCTTTAAATTCAGAGATTCAGAGATTTTGACTTGTACGTCATGTCTTTCCGTCAAAACTTCCATTTTTGGTTTCTTGGTAACGAGTATCTTCTCAATAAAGAAATAAAGCTTACAGCATGTTCTATAAGTGAATTTGACTCAATGTTATACATGTTCCAGGCCTATGCCTAGTATAGTCCCGCAGGACGAAGAAGATAGAATGTAAGAAAATCAAAATAATCGAACGAAAAAAAATTGAAAAAGTTGAAAATTCGATTTCGATTCAATTTGATTTTCTGCCATTATAAATGAAATACTGTACTTACCAACATGTTTCTCGGATATATATGTTGTTCTTACTTTATCTTCGCCGAAGATCGATGTTTATTTATATATAACAATCGAATAATCGACATAATTCAAACTCATCACTACGACACCCGGGCTCCATTTAATTCAACACGCACTTAAGACGGGCCCCTTGGACCAAGCCTAGCTAAAATATAACACTGGAGTTTTTCGAAATAGGTAGTTTCTGATCGAATTTTTGTCAAATCAAAAAAATAAAAATTACTCGGCAATAGGTTATTAAGATGAATATTGGCGAGAGGTGTACACTGACAAAGAATGGTTGAAATAACTCCATAAACGTTCAAGATCTAGGAAAACCGATGAAAATCTCCCCTAAAAAGGACCCCTTCGAAAATGGCATTCTCCATTTAAGGGCAAAAAGGCGGAGTTATAAGCGGACTGACACTTTCCTTAAATGAAGAAGTTTCGATGGATCTCGCTTTAACTCCACCCCTTCTTCGTGAAAAATCACGTGAATTCCGGCTTTTGCTGGGTCATATCCGGGCATCTCGGCTTCGAACCCAATCAGAAGCAATCAATTGACTGGCGCCGCATACATTATCTCAAGTCTCGCCCAATATTTTTATTTATCACATGATTAGAAGTGTCTACGCATTTTGATTGGTCAATTGTTATGATGTATATTCCGTATCACATGACACGTGACTAATTTTCATGTGATACAGTAAGCTGTATCACTACGGAGTCAATAGCAACGATGTGACGTCACACTGATTATATCACTTCAAGCTAAGGAAAACAATATGACGTCATACTATTTCACAAAAAGTACGAATATGACGGTACGGTACGGTATGACGTCATATTGTTTCAAAGCGAAATCAAAAATTATAATCAGAAACAAGTCAAATTCTTTACTTCAGAGAATATTTTTAATTTATTGAGACTTTCGACTAATATCCCTTAGTCTTTTTCAAAATATAACAGCATGTATACATTTATGTGACGTCATAAACAGACAATGGAAAATTTAATTATGTAACAAATGACCTAGTAACCTAAAAAATAACAACAACAAAAAACATAGATACGAAAAAACGAATGACCTAATAACCTTAA